CCACAGACATTTCGTCTAGCTCTAAGAGAGCATTTAATGATGGGAGGGTCTCAAGGTCAACCTCACCATCTACATCACCTGTCACTCCGTTGACCAGGGTGTACAACTGGTCACTGACATTACTATGCGATAAAACAGACGCTTGGCGTCTCGCAGCCGCCATCTGGCGACGCTGCCGTCTCATTGACGAGACCGTAATCTTCAAAGTACTTGGGATACCATCATCCCCAAGTTCACCAGATTCCTTGACCTTCACTTGCTCTATGCGAGAGCCGATGTCATTAACGACATCCAGTGAGTCACTAATACCAGTGACTTCACTAACAAGGTCATCGACCTTCACTTGCTCTATACGAGAGCCGATGTAATTACCGACATCCAGTGAGTCGTTAGTACCAGTGACCTTACTAACAAGGTCATCGACCTTCACTTGCTCTATACTAGAGCCGATGTCATTACCGACATCCAGTGAGTCGCTAGTACCAGTGACCTCACTAACAAGGTCATCGACCTTCACTTGCTCTATACTAGAGCCGATGTCATTACCGACATCCAGTGAATCGCATTTGCAGTCAATATCACTAACAAGTTCATCGACCTTCACTTGCTCTATACGAGAGCCGATGTCATTATCGACATCCAGTGGGTCACTAGTACCAGTGACTTCACTAACAAGGTCATCGACCTTCACTTGCTCTATACGAGAGCCGATGTAATTACCGACATCCAGTGAGTCGTTAGTACCAGTGACCTTACTAACAAGGTCATCGACCTTCACTTGCTCTATACTAGAGCCGATGTCATTACCGACATCCAGTGAGTCGCTAGTACCAGTGACCTCACTAACAATGTCATCGACCTTCACTTGCTCTATACGAGAGCCGATGTAATTACCGACATCCAGTGAGTCGCTAGTACCAGTGACCTTACTAACAAGGTCATCGACCTTCACTTGCTCTATACGAGAGCCGATGTAATTACCGACATCCAGTGAGTCGCTAGTACCAGTGACTTCACTAACAAGGTCATCGACCTTCACTTGCTCTATACGAGAGCCGATGTCATTACCGACATCCAGTGAGTCGCTAGTACCAGTGACCTCACTAACAAGGTCATCGATTTTCACTTGATCTATACGAGAGCCGATGTCATTACCGACATCCAGTGAATCGCATTTACAGCCAATATCACCAACAATGTCATCGACCTTAACTCGCTCTATACGAGAGTCGATGTCATTACCTACATCCAGTGTCTCAATATTACTATGAGTATCACTCAACGGAGTATGTGCCGTTCCACTGTCACTGAACTCTGCTCGACACTATTATTGTTGACATTTGAGTTTATCAACTCAGACACTCCAATGTCCCGCGCACTAACTGAATCAGTTAATGGCTCGCGCCAATAGCACTTTTGTTTCTTAGCGAAGGTGGGTTCATGACTCTCCAAAGCTTCGCTAGGAACATTGCGCGTTGCGCCTAAAGTTTTGGATCTCCAATCGATCCACGGCTCATGGCGTTCCAGCCAGGCCATACCGAGAATGAGATCATATCTCGAGTCCTAATCTAGGACAAGACAGCGTTCAACGCTATTGAAGTCTAAACACTTCACACCTAAGTTCAACGGAACTTTAGGAACGGTGACACGTACACCTGTTGCGAGGTGCACGGTTATACTATCACCCTCTTGCGCTTCTAGCGCCTCAGCATACAGCTGACTCCCTTCAAGGGAACGACGTCGGACATAATTCCCTGACGCCCCTGAGTCAATTAAAATTGACCATGGTTTCTCAAAACCCTTAACGGTTGCCGGCACAACCAACAAACCTGGCTTGTAATTCTGTTCCATGGAAGCATCCACAGAACCAGCTGGGGCTAAGCCCTGTTTACCTTTACCTCCTAAAGATCCAACAGAACTTAGTTCTTTCCCAGTAGGGTGCCCCGCGCCTACTGGGAGTTGACGTTTTCCCCTGCTCGCCTTTTGGCTAGGAGCAGGGTTTCGGCTCTTCCAATTTAAACGTTGCTTTCGCAACGGACAGCTAGGGCGAAGATGCCTAGTGCTTCCGAACATGTAACATATACGGATGTTACCTTGCTGCTTAGCAGCTTGAAGCTTAGCTTCTTCAGCATGGCTGAGGTCCATGGGTTCCGCCCTGTTAGAGGTATTTGATTGATACCATGGCAGACCATAGCGAGCAGATTTGAAATTAAATTCAGCGTTAAACGCTATGCTTACTGCCTCCTCGAAAGTCGAAGGTTTGACACGGAAAACTTCTGTCCTGGCGACCTTAGTACGAAGTCCTTCCATAAAAATGGTTACTCGGACTTCTTCTGCCAGAGGGTCCTGCTGCATAGCTGCAATGAGAGTTTTCAACTCTTGGACATAGTCCGACAATTCTTTCTTACCCTGTCGGGTAGCTAAGAAGCGTGAGCGCACACGATAAGCCTGATTAGGCGGTGCAAACACACAAGTTAATTGCTTTTTAAGCATTTCCCATGTGGGGAATGCGGCATTTACAGAGACATCGCTCGTTAGAGCCCACTCTCTAGCTCTTCTACCGAGCTTCGAAATGGCCAAGCCAACTCGTTGCTTATCTGAAACAAGCATGGCGGCATCCATTGCCATTTCAACTTCTCGGACCCAGAGGAGAAGATTTTCTCCCTCCTTCCCCTCAAAGGTCTTTACGTTTAAAACGAGTGGGCGAGCCTTTCGCTCTGCCTCGGGCACAGGTACCGGGATGTACTGTGTAGGCGCAGCTGACGCTGCCTAGTCATGGAACTGCCCGAGTAGCGTTGCTTCATAACGCATAAAGGCCTCAAGGCGAGCTTTTAAAACCTCGGGGCCTTGGGCCAAAAGGCCCTCGATTTGATCGGGCCCAACGAACGCAGATAATTTATCTAGCGCGAGTCGTTGCGCCTCAAAGAGGTGGTTTTGATTTTCCATCCTCACATAGGGTCAGTCTGTAAGGACTCAGGTGTAGGATTGACTACAAGTGCTACCAAGTGTAGCGGAGCTGCACAGCTCTTTAGCCAGAGGAAGACTTTAGGCTGAGAGCCTCTTAGTTCTAGAGAACTAAATAGAGTTAAGGCTAAAAGCCACTTAGTTCTAAGGAACTAATTAAACGACTTAAAGTCACCCTGTTCTAAGGAAGTAGGAGAGACTTTTAGTCAGCAAGCAATAAGCTTAAGGTTCAGCGAACCAACGCACAGAGTGCAAGAACAAGCTAGAAGCTTAAGGTTCAGCGAACCAACGCACGAAGTGCACAAGAGAACAAGTCAGAACGACTTGTGATCTTACACTCAAAATGAGAACTGATTTTATTTATGCATCAAGATTTTATGAATAGTCCTACTCTAAGTACACTACACTAGATTAATTCTATAATAGTAATTATTATATGCAGACTTTGCTATGGGACGACGTATCGTCTAAACATCTGTGTATGATGTACTCAGTACAGCGTTATCGATTATCGAATTCTAATCGATAAGATACGGTATTACCGAATACCGTATCTTTAACGCTTATACTTAATACCTCTCTAAAGAGAAGTATCAAAAGTGCATTATATGCAATACAAGGGGACTTCAACCGTAAACTCTCGGAAAAGACGCTACAACCGTCGTGTACACTATGTACGAAGTGGAAGAATAAACATTCACAACATGTAGGACGATCCATTTATCTGAAGTACTATCATGTGGAGGATAAGCAGCCGGGCGTGGAACATTCGGCTGGGACCTCAGCATGCAAGGCATAGACAAAGCTTAAAAAATTCGCGTGTTGCATAAAAGAATCCTCGCAAACGAATACGGATTCAAAGATTTCAATCCCGCGTGTAAACGAAAACAACTGCGACTTGTAAAGGTAGAGATAAGTTTGGAGCCGGTGCAATACAGGTACTCTGTACTAACTCGACATTGTAAAAATCACGTAGTTGAGTTGTTCAAAGAGTCCGGTAGTGAACATTATTTCAGCGTCGTAGTGGATCTCACGAAGATCGACTACGGTGCTGGAATAATGTTCGTTTAACCAGTAGGTAGTTGTGATAGATAATGGCTTCGCCCTTCAGTTTAAGAGTATCGACTATTCCTCATGGCGTTTGCGATGATACTTATGCTAGAGTAGCTAGGCGTGCAACACCATGAAATGGGGTACCATTAACACTCTCGTTATAAGAACGACTACAACGGAGTCTTAGGCTCTCTTCAATTATTTTACCAAAGTGCCTGCTAAGGAAGTTTCCAGGAGCGTCGCTGCTTCACAGCACAGACTTTTCAACACGACGATATGTCAAGTTTACTTACCAATGTGTACAATTCCAACAACAGAATACTCTGGTTCATAGGGCGCTCCAAATGAACCAGAGTATTCTGTTGTTGGTGTTTTCGCGTTGCTGGTTCAGCCAGATCAGGTCAGGTAACAAAAAGACGTGTCGTCATCTTGACTGCTTTGCGCTTGGTTTACATTAGATTGCATTATACGTCTAGGCCGTGCAATAGGCGCATTGCACAAAAAAGCTGTCGCGCTTTGTAGTCGCTCCTTTAATCGACTTACGAACCCTCTTCTACACGAAACGGTTCTTACACACCACCTGTAAGCTTCCTCATCATTTAAATATGCACAACTCCGATCTTATGAGGTTTTCAATGAACGGAAATCCACTTTGATCCCTGGCGCGTTCGCTCCGAAACAAGTGGAAATGCACTAGCGATAACACGCGCCGTCGCTTCCAGCAGATCTTACTAATGTAAATTTCGTTACCCCACCCACCCCATGCAAGTTAAGATTGGACGACTTGTTGTTGTTTCATCGTGACCGCTATACAGTTGGTAACTAGCCCTACGCGCCATAATCATGATCCAATGCACATCCAAACGAAGAGCGTCTGTCGGATTTCGCTGCAGTGTTGAAGCGTCTATAGTTTGTACGTTCATTCGTCAACTTGCTTCGTTTTCACGCTACTGTCACTTTTCTTAGCGTTGCAAGTAAAAGTCATGATCTCTATTAAAAAAAGTTTGATTGTGTCCGCGGTAGCAGTGGCGCTGATCACAACCACAGGGGGTGTGGACGGCTACGATGTCGTCGTGTCGAGTAAATCGGCATACAACATGAAGAGAACGCTGCGCATTGCCGCCACCAACGCTGGTGGGGCCAACAACGGGGGCAACGCTGGTGGGGCACTATCCAACCCGGACAAAGCTGCCTGGTTGGGAACAGGTCGCGGCCAACGCTGGTGGGGCCAAGAACGGGGGCAACGCTGGTGGGGCACTATCCAACCCGGACAACGCTGGTGGGGCACTATCCAACCCGGACAAAGCTGCCAACAAGGCTGGTTGGGAACAGGTCGCGGCCAACGCTGGTGGGGCCAAGAACGGGGGCAACGCTGGTGGGGCACTATCCAACCCGGACAGTGCCGCCAACAAGGCTGGTTGGAAACAGGTCGCGGCCAACGCTGGTGGGGCACATTATGGCGGACACAATGGGAGAGAAGCCGGCGGTAACACTAGAGGCAACGCTCCTGCTACGAGCCCTGGTAATACGAATTCGGGCAATGTCAACAAAAAGTACAACGGTGCGACGTCGAACATTGACTTTACCGCGGTCCAAGGCGAGATAAACCCTGGTACTGTGGTGCCGCAGTAGAGATTTGGCTCACCTTCCTTTTACGTGATTGTAGCGTAAAAGACCAAGTGCCCTTAGGTGCACGATTAATGTTGAATATATGTGGAGTTGATCATTTGTCTTGTTGGTTTACACTGATATATGCTTCAAAGGTTCCGCGTCTTTGTGTCACAGTGACGTAGCTTCCTTTCAAGAATAGACTAGAGTCTTAAACTTTTTTTATCCTCGATATCATGTAGGCAGCACAACTGCAGATTATTAGCGGCTCATACCCATGCTAAGCGGCGCAAATGACGTTGACAGGAGGGGACCCGATTTTCGATGAGCAACAACTTGCAAGGCAAAAGACAAAGTTACACTAGACAAGAAACAGTATAATATGAACGTCTACTCGCTTACAGTTTTGACGCGTAGACTCTGTAATGGATTATGGTAAACTCAATTTGTACTACCAGAGAAGCATCGTTTACAGAAGACTGTGTCATTGTATCATAGGATAGATTCGTTTGTTATTAGATTGATAAAGAAGCATGGATCTCGGATCTTAGCCGGGTAGAAAGCCAAATATTTGGATCTAGTCTTGATACGGACCTTGCACTTTGCCACTGATGTAGCTCTTATCAACGTTGACAAAGTTGAGTGATGGTTCCGAAATGGTGGTGCTTTCATCAGCAGTCGTTCCAGTAGGATCAGATGAACCACACGATTCGTCAACTTCACTACCAACAACATCGATCGATCCACGATCCTTCTCACCGCCAGCAATGTCAAACGATCCACAGTCCTCTTCAACTAAACCTGCATTTCCAACGACTTCGTTGTTTTCACCGCCAGCAACATCAAGAAAGTCGCAATCTTTGTCATCCTGATCGTTACCAGTAATGTCAAGTGAACTGTCATGTCCGCTACCAGCGACAGCGGTGGGGGCAGCGGTAAAAGTCGGTGTGATTGTAGCCACTGTCGAAGTGGCCGTCGTTGCAGTTGGGGTAGAGGTAGTCGTCGTTTGCCCAGCGGCTGAGACCGGCAGAGGAGAAGTAGTCGTCGTTGGCACAGCAACTGAGACCGGCGGAGGAGAAGTAATCGTCGTTGGCACAGCAACTGAGACTGTCGGAGGAGAAGTAGTCGTCATTGGCCCAGCGGCTGAGCTTGTCGGAGTGTTGTGCTGTTCCATCGATCCATTGCTGGTTGAATTTGATGGAGAGGGAGAGTCCAAGCCTCTGCCGCCTTCAATTGCCGCGCAGTTAACGTAAACTTGCCATGTCGTCGTGTGCAAGGCCAACCAGTAGAATGTCAAATGACTCGCACCAGTGCAGCCTGCCTTATCGTAGGGCATTTTAGCTGGAGCAGTGGTAAAGTGCGCCGCGCAGTTGGTATCTTGGAATACTCGGGTGTCGTCACACCAAGCTTCACAAGGACCATGGTGTGATTCAGTAAATCCTTCCGTGTCGGAGTGGATCCATTCTAGCTCGTTCGGAAGTGGCTGAGGATTCTCATTTGGATCGGTTAGTCCACATTCAATATTGGCACCATTGGCCACAATCTGCCCCAATTCGGTCACGAATTCCTTGATGGAGGTGTACTTGCTCGCCGTGAAAGCCGTCCAGAATGCTGCTGCGTTATTCGCAGGTGACTGACTAAATGATCCCGACAAGCCTGAAGTGCTAGAATTAATCGTTGCAATGAATTGAGTACGATCAACGTCGTTTGGAAAGGTCACCGCTGGTTTGCTCATCCAACCGTGTGCGTTTGTACTACCAAGGACTAGAGCTACAGCTCCAATCATAACAGTGATGTGGGCCATGGATTTCAGCATGTGGAAATGTTGGGATATAGCTTGGCTTGCGAACTTGACCGAGTAAATGGTATTGTGAGAAAGTCAACTAAGACCTTAGCGTCACCGAGACAAGGCATACGTGACTGACAATGAAGTCATCAGAAGCAGGATGGTGTCTTATTAATCTATAAAAATGCCGCTTTATCGACAGCATGCACCTAGTTTTCGTACAGGGTCCGTTGAAAGTGCAAGACGGTTCTGATATGACTGACAAGATGCTGCACATGTTGTTGTAATAGATGACTGACCACTCAAAAGTTGTCAGTCCGAGCAATGCATACCTGATTGAGAACAATTCGATCGTGTCGCATGCACATGTAGACAAGTAACTGTAACTGATACTCAAAGCTTGTTGTGTGACTCTTGCTATTATTTTGATAGGATCGTCGACTGAACATAATGGGCCGAACGAAACGGTCGAACCAGCGACTTGCCAGATCATGGTAAACCTGATATTATGCGCCACGTCTAGACTTGAACGTAGTCTGAAGTTATTTTACTCGCCAGATGAGGCTGAAGAGGGGAACGAAGAGGTATGCAACTTTGTAATAGCAAGTCGTCACGTCGATTCCGTGTACACTGCGATTGTTCTAAACCATGAAACTTGCGTGTTCTCATCATTCTTTGCCATATTCGTTCTAGTCAACGCGCACGAACACTTGAACATGCTTAATGCTGAAACATCGTATACGTTTACTTGCGGCGACTCAACGAGGCAGGAATTCAAGAACTTCAATACGCCAGGCTTCGCAGCGTACAAATTCAAGGGGAGCAAGTGGCACAAAGTCCAGAGGTGTGGGGCACGTGGAAAATGCAGTAAACACGCATTAACAAGTTCCTGCCATTTTTCGTTCCGCCTTTAGTCGCCGGCCCGTTCGCCAAGCGCGACTTCTGGTCCCATGAAGCAAACTTCCCTAGAGCGTGATATCGTCGTTCCAATTTCGACTGGAGCTGTATATCGTTCATGATAAGCTTAGTAGAATGCGCATGTATGACCACTCGTTGGTTCATCCATAAAAAAACACTTGGCTGAGCAGTGAGCTCCACAGCAGTTACCCTCCTCTTTAATTGCGCTGCTACAAACCTAGTTGGCGATGTCCAGCCTGTACCTCAGTGTGACTCGTTCACAGAGTCTTACTTTTTTTTCGTTTGGTGTCGAGGACATTCCTTACGCGGAGCAAGCTAAAAGTGAGAACTATTGCGAATTGTGGCCGCCTCCGAGTGCGCGTTCATCTGCACAGTAACCCGGACAACGACGGACAGCAAGACATTGAATCGTATCCGTTCAGGAAAGTATCTTTGCTTATAAGCTTGACACCCATAAGCATCATCTTACCAACACACGAGGAGCTATAAGAGCACAGTAAACTGTAAAACCATTGATGTTCTAAGTGACTGTTAAGCTTTTAGTCGGTAACATTGTCTCTTCATCGCTTCTTTAGCTTCTTAAACAAAGAGCAAACAATGGATTGAGATTGAGACATTCGTCATACATTACACCAATATGGGGCAAGATGTGTTAGTCCAAGCGACTTTGTTGCGAAGCAAAATTTTTGCGTAGAATACGCGTCAAGTTCGTCTTTAAGCGAGATAGATAGCAATATGAGTAAGCGGCACTGGCAAAGAACGACACGTTTTGCGCAAGAACTGCGGTAGGTCGTGGGGATTCTATGTAAGACTTCTGGCCCCGAAAAAGCTCAATGGAAAGTTTCAAAGAGAGCGAGTGAGATAGCACTCACTCTCATTGAGCTATCTATGGTAGGATGCAGCAGATACGACTGATTCAAATATCGATAGCCCAGCGGCGTCGTTTACTTTGCTTTTGTTCGTAATAGTCTAAATGTATGAGGCCAAGGTTCAAAGAGGTCCTTGTTGGTCTCTCTTCCATCCTTGACGAGGATGAAAGCAGTTGCTTGTCTTTATCAAAGCTGTCGAGGAGTGATATGCAGGACGGTGCTCTTTGTCCGTTGCATTGATGCAGCAAGTGCTAGGTCGTAAATGAAGGAGATGCAATAGTATGACATATGGTGCGTATCTTAGTGCGGCCCATGGGGATGAATGCCTTGCTCATCATTTAAGTTCTAGTCGCTCACTCTATAAACTAAATGACATAGTTGAGCACTTGCGATATTAGTATTTACCAGATGTACATGTGGGCTTTAAAAGCATTTAAGCACAGCCACAGTTTTGATGTATCGAGTTATTCCGCAGAGTTAATTTCAAAGCGTATTAATCTTTCGCCTTTTACTAAAGATTACCGTGGAATTGACTCATAATATGCGGCTTCAACTAAATTTCTGTATCCCTCCTTGTGAGGGGAATTCCTTTATCTTATACAATTTCAATGCTATGCTTTGACTGGTCACACTTACTCGTAACGCATGTCGGAATCCTCATTGCGATACTTTCAATGTGTCTGCCAGCTGCGGCATCTCACAAGATCGTAATATACAGATGTAGTAGATTGTTCTCTATCGTACTGCCGTCGTCGATACTAGTTGTGTCTGATCAAAATTTGGCTTTTAAGTGCAGATGAGAGACCGTTTCAGTTGTGGCGGCAATCGCCCATATAATTACACTTTGGTAGAGCATTTTTAAACGCTTTTAATTGCACGAAATTCGTCACTACTATAGGTCAGTAGCTTCTTACGGAGAGATTAAGCTCAGCCTCTTGGTAGTCCACCGTCGCAGTCTACCATTCAGTTTTAGAATAGTGCACCAAGTTTGCAATGAATTCGAGTGAGTCTTTTAGAATACGAGTCTCCAATAAGTTTGCCGTCGGTTAGTTTAGTTTTTTACGTCCTACTGTGCTACAGCGCTTTTACATGTATTTATATGCTATAAATCTCCCTCCAATACGTTATGGCTTTGGTGGACGGAGATTTCAAGCTATTGGGTTTTTGTTATATCATAAATAAGGGCAAAAGAGGGAAGGCGACAAGTCTCGGTTGATCCGGGGAAGTTGAATTTTATATTCAGCCTCAGTCCGTACCTTTCGACTGGTATTTGCTTAACGATTCATGAGATACCTGAGCCGCATTTTACCGTATTCTATAATGCTCTAAGTCAAGCCCTAATTTATCTTTTCTACACTGCAGCATACCCACCCATCAGTTTTGTGCTGCAAATGAAGACCACCGGCGCAAATTCGGTGGATTCAATCAAATGAATCGGGTAATCGACCACTTGTTGCAGCTAATCGTAGAAAAGGATTATCGCTTGTGTATTCGTATTATCATGGTAATCGTCACATACGCTACGGAGTGATGAGATTTGCTTCTGACTTGCATTTACACGACACGACAAATATTCAAACTCTTTTTCTTACTACTGAGTGGTCTCCGTCAGCATAACATGACGGCGACGCACCCCGCACTTGTCGTTTATTGAAGGTTTGCCAAGAGCCTCGGTCTTGTCATCTTTTCTGTCCGCGTTGGACTCGTCAGTCGTCATTGGCTTCTCCTTCTCCTGCTCGTCCTGCTTTTCCTCACCATCTTTAGTAGGAGCGTCAGTCTGGGGCTCTTCCTTAGCAATGGGGTCAGCCTCAGCAGGCGTTTCACTAGGTGACGGCGCGGTGTCAGAAGAGGTAGTAGCCGGCGTATCGCTTGGGCTACTCGCAGGATTGTTCGATTCCGACTTGACTGTGGAAGCAGGCGTCTCTGGAGGCGACTCAGTAGGCGTCTCAGGAGGCGACTCAGTAGGCGTCTCAGGAGGCGACTCAGTAGGCGTCTCAGTAGGTGTCTCAGGAGGCGACTCAGGAGGCGACGACGCGGTAGCTGGCTCATTGCTTGGGCTACTTGCGGGGGTGCTCACTTTTGGTTTGGTGGATGGCTTAGCGCCATTCAGAGAAGCGCAATTCGTGTACACCTGCCACGGTATCGCGTGCAAGGAAAGCCAGTGACACGTTAGCATGGAAGCACCTGTGCATTTCGCCTTGTCGTACGGCACGTTGGCAGGGTTTTCCGGAAACTCCTCGGCAGCGTTCTTGCTCTGTATCACGATCGTATCATCACAATAACAAACCAACGGTCCCTTGTGGCCAAACGTGAAGAAGTCCCATTGAATCATATCAGGGAGGTCTTGTAACGTGCCATCCACCACGGAATAGCCGCACTCTTTGGAAGCACCTTTCTCGAGAATCTCGACTTTCCATATAAATTCCCTTAACGACTTGTATGAGCTGGCATTGAATGTTGTCCAGAACATGTCCATGTAAACTCCCACTTCGGTAGTGTAGGCTTTGCCGTTCGGAGGCGGCAACATTTTAGGATCAATATGACCGGAAGGATTGTTTTTGCTGGTGACCGAATCGGGCCAAGTTGGCATCGGTTTCGTCATTATATTGTGCGCTCCGGTGGTGGAAGCCAGCATGACGACAGCCATTGTAGCCGACTTGATAAAAGAGGACACCATTGTTTACTATGCACGAAAAAAGCGATATAAAGCTGCAGTCGGTGAATTCCCAAATGGTTAAATATAGACGGTCAATTTGGAGGACGATGACCATGCAGTCGCCAATGTCTGCATTTCGGACACTTAGGCTGCTAGAACGAACCAGCTGGTAATAAAGCACACAGAGAGAATAGCACATGAATACCGTTCAATGGGACGATTCCACTTGTATAGGACATAGGTGATGTTCAAGCATACAGTTTTCAGGCTTAATAAGCCTATCGTAAGGATCATCGCAAATTTTGTTGTCGCTAGCATTCCCAATCTAAAGAGCTGCCACTTATAACATAAAAACGAGATTGATCGATCGACCAAATTTCGTTTGCTGTGTAAACCCAAGCAATATATCAACTGTCTATCGATGAAAGCGAGTCATACGGAGAAAGCGTACACTATGAAACATGGTGTGGTTATATAGCTGTATTCCATTAGATACAATGAATGGAAATTGAGACCAATTCCTTGTTCACTACGATAATGTGACATTTCGTTTTAGTGGATGGTCATACGAATGTACAATTGACAAAGAAGATGTTGAGCGGATGTGTCGGTTTCAACATCCGGTCAGCAAAAAACATGTCTTGCGTTTCGAGGCCTTTTTTCAGTCTATGTGTGTCTCTACTACAGCTATAAGCAGCTTATTTTCAACTATTGAGGCATCTTTTAAAAAGCTTTAGCAAATGTTGTACTAGGACGACAATTTTATAACCCTGATGCATGACGTTAACAGCGACCTTATGTAACTGAAGTTGTAGCGTGAATTTAGCTGCTCGTCGTCGGTCGAAACATCGAAGAAGTTCATGCGGGGCAAGACCAGGTCTGCTAGACCTGGTTATTTTATTTGCCTCAGATGCTCTGGAAAGACAACTCTGATGAACATAATTGCGCTCGCCAACGGCGGCAAGATTGCCAACAGCCGAAAATACGAGGCAAACATGCTCTCATTCGGGATATTGCGAGCAGATTATCCTCACGCGTCTATACCATCATGAAACAAGGGTGTGGTAGACGATGTATTGCCTCGGCTCTTTTAAAATGTTGACAACGGGCTTCCATATTGTTACGAGGCTTGTCGAAATGGTTGTGAATTACGGTGTAAAAATCTCATCGTTGCTACTGGAGATGTGCTATAAAACAACTACGTCCATCTCCCCAGTATTTTGAATGACATTCTATGATCTCGTTTATATATATATATCAGTAGCATCGGTGGCACCCGCCACTCTAAGTTGTTCAGGAATACTTTGATTCCGCCACATCCGCTTATCTAACGTCTTCTTGAGTACATTTACTGTGCCGGTCTTCGCGATGCAGATAGATATCTTTAAACGTAGTGCTAGCCTATTGGAAACCAGGGTGTGGCAGTGTCACACTACTTCAAGATTGAAGACCTTCACCACTACGTGAATATACCGAGGTTAGTTTCCTACGGCTGGATGATACGAAGAGCTTTGAGCACAATGATGTCGTCGCATTTCTGAACGTTCTTCGTATTTTAGACAGATGAACCCGTCTAACTGCGACGTAGGACAGCTCAACCTCTGCAGAACGTATAGCGCTTCACAGACTCATAAATGCTATTGGCTGGTACTTTTGCACCATTAAATCACGAAATGATAGACCGTATCTCTTTATATCACTCTTGCCTTCATCATTTCCACTAGGGTCTGTTCGTTTAAAGATATTCCAATCTTTTTAAGTGGCAAGTTTTACTTCAAATAACTTCAGCAAATACCCGGGTAATAAATTGTGCCCTTCCGATGCATCATGATCCCAACATTCTTGGAATATTGTTTGTCTGTCCGTTCAAGTTTCCATAAAGGACTGTGTTCGCTCGATGACTGTAGGGTGCGATGGCATTAAGTAGTGCGGTGCACCGATCACCTACCGAGAGATCAGTCCGTCAGCCTTTACAGATAGAACAAATCAAAGCAACTAGTTACAAACAAAAGTTGACGAGCTCTCACCTGGTGTCGAACTTCTCCTGGCATTAAAGTTTCTTCAACCATCACAAGGCCGTCGTTTGGGTAATTGTGCTGATTGAATGGATTGAGACACAATTTTCCAGCAAGTACTAATGGATAACATCTTCGTGGAAGTTTTCCAAGTCGTTGGTCGAGCGTATCGGCACTCAGCATTGCCAACTCCTCCGCTGCCACACCTCCATATCCTGCAACTCCAAGATACTTCTTCATTGATTTGTGGTATCGAATCCTTCAGCAAATTTGAAGGAAAAAAAATTAGAAAATTTGTTGCTGTTTTTTTCTCTCCATTCTTCCCACTTTACCCTCGATTAGGTGGTGCAAGCATCACTACTTTGCATTTGATATAGTTCCAATCTATCGTCCGGAATGCTTCCTGAAACACTCAATATCATATCATCAATAAAAAAATATTACTAATAAATATTATTTATCATAAAAATAATACACACATTTAAATTCTTACTTTGTCCAATCAACATAAATAAAATAGTACTTACTCGTAGCACTAATGCCCCGTATCCATGAGTCACGAAATTAATCGCCTCGTCTGTTGTATGTGGCTTTTGGCTCTTTAAGAACTGAGCCAGTTCTACAATAATATCATATACGCAAAGAAAAACCCAAATTAGCGATATTATACTATCGGTGTAATAAAAATAACATTTCTTATGTTTTTTACTATATTACTTTTGCCCGAAGTAGCAAGGGTTTCCGTCCGTGGTCGAAAACGGAACGGCTGGACGTTAAAGCCTCGTACTGCATGCAGGTACAACTCTAATGGAAGAAGTGGCAGCGAACCACCGTATAGATCGTGGACTGTGATCAACACTCCCTTTGCCAGCATCCCACGTCGGTCGATCACGGCGCTAGCCATCGTTAGAATATTAACCCAATTTAAAGACGAACCTATCTAAAGTAATATATGTAATGCAAAGTATGATACGTATAAAGTATAAACTTTACAAGGTTTATAACCTTTTCAAATCGATGCTATCAAAAAATTGACAATCATTTCCGACAAAAACGTTTTTGACACTGTCAAAAATAGACGTCCCGAATGAATGCGACGGACCCCAGCGCCCAGAGCGTGCATGGTGTGAACCCACAGACGCTAATAGAAAAGATCATGCGCAATCGCATCTACTCCAGCATCTACTGGAAGGAGCAATGCTTTGGTCTTACGACTGAAACGCTCGTGGATAAAGCCGTCGAGTTGTCCGAATTTGGTGGCACATTTGGTGGTAATCAGCAGCCGACCCATTTTTTGTGTCTTTTACTCAAAATGTTACAGTTGCAACCAGAACTTGAGGTCGTGAAACAATTTATTGAAAATGAGGACTATAAATATGTGACAATTTTGGGGGCAGTTTATCTGCGACTTGTGGGAAAACCCATTGATGTGTACCCACTTTTAGAGCCGCTGCTAAGTGACTACCGCAAGATTCGACGACGGAATGTCATTGGCTGGGAAATCACACACGTCGATGAAATTGCAGATGCACTGCTGAATGAAGAATTTTATGTGGATTTGGCATTGCCACGACTGGTGGAGAGAGAGATACTGGAGAAAAACAATGGCTTGATGCCACGGAAGAGTCCGCTAGAAGACAAACTATATGAAGAAAGTGATAGTAGTGACAGTGAAGAGGAGACGTGATCGTGATTTGATGATCTGTCTGGACCTCGAGAAGCTCAAAGTGTGTAGTAAGTTGCATCTATTGATCATTCTAGGGACGGGTGTGGTGGCTCTTTCTCTATTTGCACAGCAGTCGGGATGATGGTTAGAGACATTTGGAAACAGTTTTTCGTCGATGGAATTGACAACTGTCAACACTGAGAGCGAGCTCTATTTGGTAATCGAACGAAGCAAATGACGGAGCAGGTACGCAGCTGGCTGTTATTAGAACTGCGTCATGGCAAGTAACAGAGGTAGACGAAGAGATACTTGAATTTGACAGAAACGCATTTCTTTTGAAAGAGGTCCAGTAGGATTCTGCCCGTGAGACCACAGCAACTTTTGACGTCTCGAGTTTATATTAGCAGAGCTTTTGCTTGTATACAAACGATCGCATTACGACAAAGCTCTGTTAGTGCTTCTTAAACATTATAAACGTGCACCACGCTCGACAAATGCACCACGTTTGACATACACACTTGTCAGATCCATGTTCATGCACAATACAAAATGATGACCCCGCTAGCTGCTCAATACGCGCAGCAAGTGACGATAGAATTTGTTGAACAGCACAATGACCGACAACGCCTTTCCACAAAGACGATTGTAATCATTCTTACTGTCATCTTCTTACTTGTAGTGCGCTCAGCACAGCAAAGTGGTGTGTTTTGGATAATGGCAAAAGTACTGGATTTACGTTGACCTAGATCACAATGCTCGCAGTCAATGATCAATGTCTACGTAGTAAAGTAAACAACCACTGGATGCTGGAATAACTAGCCTTTCGGTACTAAGATTCATTATCTGCAAGCAACATTTGCTCCTCTTGTCCATACTCATACTATCTCATACCGGCGAAGGATACTTGAATGTGCTGCCTTTACCGAGATGTCCGCGCTCGACCGTCTACCAACTTCGTCAGCAAAAAAGTACCACTGTACCATTGTCATCTTGTCGCTCTTGTTGGTTTACGAAATTTTCGCGTAATTTTGAGGGTCTTTAAACAACTCGTGGAGCAACTCATGGATCAGTGCATGGCCCGGACTTGTAGCAAAGAAGTAGCCATGTAGGGGGTAACCTGCAAGGCCTATATCGCCAATGCAGTCCAGCATCTTGTGACGTGTCCATTCGTCACGAAACCGCAGTCCTTCTGCATTCCGAACAGTTGCTGTAGTAGCCTGTTCATTTTTAGAAAACACGACGGCATTATCAAGCGACCCACCACGTGCCAATCCATGGGTTTGCATCCACTCAATCTCCTTTTCAAACGTAAAAGTCCTAGCCGATGCAATCTCTTGATAAAAAGCATTCATCGTCAAATCCGGGTCCGATCCCAATGCAAAACGACAGAACGTCGTGCCCAGCTGTTCGTGTTCAAAATTTACTTGCACCGACATATGGAGCGTCGGAATTTGCAAGGACAAAGACGAGCTACGGAGATCTTTTGGCAAAGGAAGAAACCACGCTGCTTTGTCCTGCTTAATGACTTGTACTGGTCGCATAATGCAGAGATAAGTAAGACGTGCGCCTTCCTGTTCTTCAATACCCACACGTCGAATTTCCTCCACGTACTCGATACTACTCCCGTCCAAGATCGGTACTTCAACACAAAACTTCTGGCTCTTGACATTTTCATGCTCAATAAAAGCATTCGTGATTCGAGACGCCACTAGCGCTGCCATTAAGTGCTCACTAGTCGATACGATCGAGCCATTGGCACCAATAAGTTGTGTGCACAATTGACTGTTGCTACTGACGTTCTCGATCAAAGCTGGAATTGCACGACTTCGGTCACCTATATGAAAAACAATACCCGAGTTTACAGGAGCTGGATGTACACGGATCACCACTTTTTCACCGGAATGCAACCCCACACCCGTAAATTGTAGCGTCTGCTTGAGCGTCCGCTGCCACGGACCCATGAAAAGTTGTTTTGTCGATTTTTATCCAATCAATTGGCTTTAATAAATTGTCTTTAGCACGTACAGACCTCCCTCCAATAAGTGATCCTCCGATAAGTTATAACCTCCGGTAGGCTATCGAATTTCGTTTCCACCGAGCTCGTTCTATGGTCGCTAAGTTATAAGTTATAAGTTATAATCAGGCAGGGAAATATAACTTTATAAACTGAGTATTTTTCTTTACTTCAGACGAGAAAACTTACTCAAACCACATGTCAAGGGTAGTTTCAGTATGGGTGCGTTGCGTAAAGTCAAGTTGAAGGTCGTGGTAGAACTCTATAAGCGGCTTGTGGACTGAGATACATTGAGCAGGTCGCAGTTATCACGAAGGAGGTTAGTCTCTTCAATTCTGGTGAACTTGTCTGCAACAGGCGCCACATCTCCACTAATTTCTCCCTCCTTTTGTGCCTGGTGAGAGCAGGAACGGTAGGGTAACTAGCGTAGATAGGGATGCATAGAAGAGAAAAATTAGCAGAGAAAATCAAGCATAACACAGAATCATGAATAATATAAAATCTAGCTTTTACCTCTTCCACAAATCTCGTTCTCGCTCAGCTCTGGCTAAGCAGTCTCATCCTCTACTATAGGATTGCAAGCTTCGAAACGTTAATTGATCTTGAACACGCAGCTGCTCTAGAGGGTCTCTCAGCTCCTACTCCAGCTTTTCGACATCTTCTACTATCTAGGTAGGTAAGACACTATTAAACACTGTAAATTTTTATAAAGCTTTCACTAATAGCATAAAAAACAAGTTTACGACATGTCTCACACCTTTTGGCCGGGTCCAACTAGCAAAGGAGTCAAGGACTTAAGTTCTTTTAGCAGGTTGAACCTAGGATCCTTTTTTTATCTATGTACAATACACATGATCCGATAAGTTATAGCCTCCGTTAAGTTATGGGTATCGTCGTCCACCGTACCCATAACTTAACAGAGGGAGCTCTGTATATCAGTACTACTGGATATAATAACTGAAGTAACTACACGACTTTTTGGTGAAGGCAGTTACATAACATGTGTATACTATACATTGTTCAAACAGATGAGACACACTATAGAATCAATTATACCACATTCCTCGGTGCTTTAAAAGGGCCTTTAACTGACTGAGCTCAGTAGTTGCAAATAGAAGGGCGTTGATGCCGACGTTTCGTTTTATATACCACCCCTAGCAATCGTAACAATTCTTGCATGTTATAGATACAGTAGTGCCTGGTAAAACATGAGATCAAGTCACTTCAACATGTCGCCTGTCCCTTGCCGTCTTGTCGCGCATTTTTTGGGGGGTACGACAACGTTAACTCTATGTAAATAATTGGCAGCCACCACAGTGTTAAAAGGACTATAGTATTTCTTAGTGTTCTATTCTTATGAGCTCAACCACATACAATCTTTTACTATTGTAAACTGAAGTCTATTTTTGAATCGTCCTGTCTGTCGAAACCCAGGAATTACAATGCTAGTCTTACATGATGTGTTTCACACAAGGAAAATGACTTTATCTGACTATATGATCCATCTCCATACTCAATTCAACGTTGTACGTTGAAGCTCCACAGTCAAGAAACACGGATTTTTACCAACATTCTGTCAACATCCGGGCATGGCAGAAGTGTCACGGCCATGGAAACCGGCGGTGAAGCTGGAGCCAGAAGAAACACTGGCCAGTTATGTTTTCAATTATTCTGTGGTACTTACACCAACTCACGTCCAAAAGAAACGTCGCGTTCATTCAACTAATAACATGCCAGGAACAATGCACATTGGACGGAATCAGGACAAGAACATGACGCTGTCGCGTGTTCCAAGTGGAAATACAATGCAATGGATACATAAATCAAATGAAAAACAAGACCAAGATCAATTTCGAACGGCGCGACAGAGATTCGTCCTTGAAGACGAAGAAATAGAAGCAACAACACCATTAGCATCATCTTGTGCTTTAAAGTTTAAACCAGTGCAACCCAAATTAAGTACAAGCAAATCAGAAGGACGAGCTAATGTATTACCAAGTAGAAGAAGGAGACAATTCCAACAAGATCAAGTATCTCAATCGACAAAACGATCAGTGAATCGAGCTCCAGTACAAGATCAAGGACTAGGAAGAGACGACTCGTTTGAAGACACTTTTCTTGCAAGAGAAAAGATGATACATCGATGTTTTGGTGTTCTTGAACATAATCAGAGCTGTGGGCCTTTTACGTCAATATCGTCTTGTGGACCAAGTGAAGCTGCAGGAACTTTAGAACAAGGATTCATGTCATCAATGACGTATGCAAGTTCAACAGTGGTAATGGATGAAATGTTGGTGACAGTAGCCCAACGAGCCAAGAAGGAGTTGGAAACAATCTCGAAACGCCAAGTAATGGAAGAGGGAAGATGGAAACGTATAGCACGATCGAAGCCAGAGTGTCAGTCATTCGAGTCTATTAGTAAAGCTAAGGATCAGTACAGTGTCCTGGTGGAAATGGACTTGCCATGCAGTCTACGAGAGATCATGAGTGTGTACTCTACGGACAATTTAGCTGAGTTTCATCGCAGCATGGAGGCAATCTTTGGAGACCAGTACGTCTATGGCGTCAATATTCGCACGGCGGACTGTGCTTCAATTGTTGAAGAATGCAACTCGGTTTTGCGGTCGCGCCCACAAGGTCGACGAGCTTCGGCGCCAGCTACTTCGCGTGGATACGAGGAAAGTATATGTACTAATGTGTCGCCGTTGCGTTCAGCTAAATTACATGTAAATGCTGTAACCCTTATGCAAAAGCACCACCTGGTGTGGAAGCAGCGAAATATGACGTTTATGGATTATTTGGAAGAAAACATTGAGACGAAATCAGTCACTCGCGTGATGCAGACAATGGATATGCAAGATGAAGACCTGGAGTGTAGTTCGATAGCAATGTCGTCCCCGACAGCTGTCTCAAGCAATCTAGAATGTCTCTTTCAACAGCATACTCAGCATGGGATCGATTTACGCCGGGAGCTAAAGGGAATCCTTGCGGGATATATCATCCAAGAAGACTCAAATGAGAAGCTTACACGGGTTTTCTTTCATGCGACGCACCATCACCGTCCCTCTAGTTGGCACGGACCGACAAGAATGCCTCGATCTGCAGTTCAGCTTTTGCGTGCTATGGTAAATAAGGTGTGTCTTCTTGAGACAGTTATACTGCGTCGTCGTTTGGGTTACTACCCGTTGACTCGTCTGCCTACTTGCTCCGACGTGGCACTCAGATGTGCAGCATGCTGCGTCCCTTTTAACATGCTTCGCAAGAGATATGTTTGCAGACTGTGTGGCCACCACACGTGTCGGAAGTGTTCGGACGTGCAGGAAGTTGAAAAAACTGTTGGACAGGTTGAGAAGCATCGAGTGTGTGCGTCATGTGTGCGGCGCGTAAGCTACTGCGTGTTCAGTATGTGTGCTTTCCCGCCTAAGACCGCTTCGAACGTCAGTGATACCAGTCGGACATCACCGCGATCCCCGCAACCAATTGAAAGAAACGTGGAAGACGATGATTTTGACCCGCCGATTATGGACGATCTTGCTTCCAATGACTTTGAGCACGTGGAAGTTTTTCACTCAAACCAAAACGGAGTCTTTGCCGGTTTCGTATCCCGTTTGCTTCATGATAAAGACAAGAAGCGAGACATCGATTCCCATCGGAAACAGGATTTCACTGCCCAAGAGAGGCAAAACTTAACTGCTGCTAAACGAAGGCAGCGGCAGCGGCTGCAACTAAATATTGATGATCTGAACCCATGGGCTCCAGGACCACCACCTCTCGACGGTCAGAACACGCCAAAGGAGTCAATATGTATCCTCGACAGCTTCGGTATTTCCGATCCATCGACAAGCTCTCGCTTACGCGAGCTACCTTCTTCATCGCCGACGGAAGCGTGAGAAGAATGTCAACGAATGACACAGTATTTTTATTCCCTTATCGAAGAGGAAGGCAGTAAATGCACAGCTATCAGTGGATTACTACAGTGTACTTACACCGAATAGACTGGCAGCAACTTGCTGGTCTGTAGTTATAAATCAATATCAATCAAAGTGACGTAATGAAGAATATTTTAGCGATGAATATGTAACATGAATTGTTTCGATATCCAAGCAATAGTATCGTACTACTTACGTAATGTCCATTGTTGACTCTAGCATCACTCCAGCGTTAGCGTATTATTTCATGGTTACAAAGTGAATCGTATCGATTCTCCTGCTTGACCCCCACGTTCGCAGCCGTTTTTGCCAATGCAGTCTCATTTTAGCCTCTCAACCTCTTTCAACATGATAGCTTCTAGCTCGGCTAGTTCCTGTCTTCATCCATTCAACCACGGCTGGCTTTACTTGGTCTTTCGTAAAAATGTTCAACGTCCCTATGCAGATAGACGATGCCACCACCTCTCTAAGCTCCCACCTCTCCAGCCCCCACAGCATCCACTCGTTTGGACCATTAAAGTATCGGAAAAGCTCTGAGACGTTAGAAACTTTCCACTTCATCTAGCCAAAACGCCATTGTCTTTTGTTGGAGGTCTTGATTCAAAAACCCAGCACGATGTCCTCAACTTTCATGATCTCCCGTCATAACGACGTCTTGTCATTGACAATTTCCTTGTATGTTGTACAACTTTGTCATCAATCAAACACAATATATGGAAAATGGTGGAGTCACGTCGATAATTCCCCGCTTCCCTAATAAAAAATTGGCACGAAGTTTCCAGTCGATAAATTATCTTGAAATCTCAACTCGTCATCGTAACATTTCAATACCAATCTGCCTCCCCTCCCTTCAAACAATACCATCAAGTATTTACAACCCCGCCATTATCTAGTACCAGTAGGTAAAATTGCGTCAATCTCGTCCTGCGTCACCCCTGCATCTTTCAATCTCTTTCTTGCCATGGCCGTTTCTTCTGCTACTTTGACTCGTTTTAAATCTCGAGCAACTTCAACTTCTAGTTCCATTTTATGTACTTGAGCTTCTAATTTTCGTTTTTTCCATTGCACTTTCTCCACTTCTTGCGTCAATTGTTGACGTATCAGATCCTTGACTTGTTTATCAAGTTTTGTCACAAAATCATCCAATGTTTTCAACCAGCCAATCATCGACACGAGTCGTTCCGATCCGGGGACAGTAGTCGGTCTTTTATTAAGTGGTATACTCGGTGGTACTCCAGTGGTACATTGTACCAATAACTCGTCCTTGGCTTTCTTCTGACGTTCTCGATTGGCTGGCAAGTCTTCCATAATATTCTCTTTACTAACCCACGTATCCCAATTATCCGTCCAGCCTGGAAAATGGACAAAATATTTACTATCACCTGTCGTATCACGCTCAATCTTATACACTTTAGCATCAAAAATCAGCAGGTCGTAGTATACGAGCACCGTATCACCCACTTTAATGACCATTTCTAACTGACGTCAAATAATAATAAACAAGGTTGGATTTTAGAAATAACAAATGGTCTCTCTTTTTGATTGGCTAAAACATGATCCAATCAAATGCAACGAATCGCTTAAAATCCCGTCGAATACGCCCCACTCACAGATACGCAAACGTCTCGAATGGCTACAAAAGGTGACCACGAAAAGCCCGAGACGGTGGATAATGAACATCAACCAGTATGTATAAACACACGTACTCTTTTTCACTATACTGTCTTCTTCTTTTTTTCATTTACTACTTCTTATTCTTGACAGATTATCAAAAAGGTGCGACTCGATGTGACGGAAGAAGTTAAAAAGGTTAAAATTGATGAAAATGCCACTCCACAGCCAGAAATTGGTGGATCTAAGGTCTGTACTTTGATTTCGGTAGACAGCACATGTAAAAGTTGATGTTAATTGGCTTTTTATATCATATAGATTGCAGTTGAAAAGGATTTATCGGCGTCAACGTCACCCGTGACGGAATATCAAGAAGAAGAAGAGAATGTTAGTCAAGAAAAGGAAAAAGAAGTCAAGGCTCTTACGACTGGCAGTGCATTCGGTGGCTTTAGCTCCTTTTGTGGTGAAAAAAAGGCGTTCACACTAGCAAATTCGAGTGATTTTGGACCTAAGGCTTCGGATTCGAGGTTTAGAGGAATTGATACAGAAAAGTCGAGCAAGTTGGACGATGAAACGTCATTATCGTCGTTGTCGGATACAACGACGAGCAGCTCAAGTGGATTCGCGCTGTTTCAGAGCAATTCCTCGGCGACGTTTGCGTCATTTGCTGCGACGCAGTCGACGACAGAGGGTTTTGGTGCAATGGCGTCATCGTCTTTATCCACTGATTTTTTGGATACAGACGTGATGAAGAGAGCGGACCCTGTTGTGCCGGCATTGTCCGAAGCAGAGGTAAAGAGATTTGCTAACGACGTTTTTTAACTGCTGATTACTTAAATCTTGCTACTTGTAATGACAACTTGTAGTTAGCTAATGGAGAAGAAGGCGAACAGATATTGATCGAGGTACGATACTTTTTTGGTAACGTCAAGTTTGCACTTGCTGAGGGTGCTAACGTCACTTGTCGCTATCTAATTGTTTCATTTTATCTCACTAGAAACGCGCCAAGCTGTTTAAATTAGTGGAGAAGGACTACGCAGAAGTTGGTATTGGTCCATTGCGAGTTCTGAAAACAAAGGATACAAAGACGGAGGAAGACAAGGCGACTGCACGAATTGTGATGCGGCGCGAGTCGTACCCGCACGGACATGGCACCAAGTTGCTGATGAATGCAAGCTTAGGCTCTTGTCTGCAGTGCGAGCAGAAGACAGAGAAGACGATGCTGTTGACTGTATTGGAGGCAAATGAGGATCTGGTAGCGACAAAGAAGTTCATCCCAGTGACTTATCTCATGCGATTTGGATCATCGGATGATCTTGACGTAGTGAGTGCGCAGATTCAAGCCAACATGCATTCGTCGACAGCACCTGCGTCGTCCAATTGATACCAAGCCTGACATGAGTGCATTTGCACTTTTGAGTTGTAGAGCTCAAAACATTCAAGCCGAGTAGCGATATGAGCCCAGTTGACACAACAAAATGACATGAACTGGGCAGATGCCGGTCGGGATGAAGGAAAATACCCATTTTATAGTGCAATAAGATGGCTACTTCCATGCGCATTTATATACGTAGATAAACAAGTTACCGGTACGAATACCAAGTATACCGGGCACGTACCGATTCACCGATAAAAAGTGGTACTATCAAAAGAGTACATTACGTAAAAAGGAGAAGAGCCTTCTACACCAATCGTATTTCATGTGCTCGTAATTACGTTTGTTCTTGTCCGTTACAAATGGTTGGCTGAGATTCATTGTCACTAGCACATGATACAGATCATTCTTCAATTGTCATCGGTCTTGACTTCAAGTGTATCTTAATACGTCATTTAAATCATAAAGGACAATGACGATCACAAGCTCCCTCTTCTGAGACTATACAATCATGTGGAAGATAGCTGCATCCGGAATCACTATATGCAAACACCGAGTCCAATAACTATTTGTACGTAGTAGTTTATGTCATTTATGACGATGGAGTGCAATGATGAAACTAGTGTCTGATTTGGCTTGAACCAACTAGCCGTGAAGAATCGAATATATCACTATCACCCATAAAATGAGCACTCCATTTTATTATATATATTTGTACCTAAGTGTGTAAGGAATGATGACCATATACTTTGGTCCGTGTTCATGATCTGCCTAATGGCAATGAATTAGCTCAAAGTTCTGACCTGTCCCTCTTATTTATATGCTTGTATTTATATATCTATATTCTATGTCTATTGCTTCTTCATACTCCACGCCGGCAATATTCTGCCATCTATTTGGTCGATAGTAACTGGATTCATGACAATCTATTGACTTGCGCTGAAAAGTTCGAGACAAGAGTGTCGTTGTGTATCCAAGATCTATCAATACGAGATAGATGAGTATTTGTAATTGGATCCGGTACTTTTATATAGAAGCAAAAGTAACAGCGAGCTTACTACGGATTCCACTACTGTGTGTCCTTTTGAAATTGTGTATCATTCATCTGATCTACCTTTTGGGTAGTGATGGTGATTGATACATGAGCTCGAAAGTACCTGGTGCAGTGGAGTCAACATAGCTGCTTACATTTATTTATTGATATTTTATCATTTGTATGGAATCACGTCTTGAAACGATGTTGTTGATGATTAAAACAATCATGCACCACTCTGAAAAAAAGAAGAAGAATGACCATGAACTTGTTCAAAGTCTTTTTCTTTTGTGTCGATAAACTGAACACCTTAGAACTTTGATGAAACAATCTCGTTAATTTACATGTTTGTATGAAAAAGTCTTGCTGGAATGTTGTCACTGAGGAGGATACCTACTTATCATTACCACCGAAACTAACCCTTTTGGTCTTCGGACAAATGTGTGGACTTCTTACACCTGTGTTTCTGAGGTGACACTCATGATCAACATGTATATTTTATCTATTATATTCTGTGGAATAGAATGAGGAGAAACTTGTTTAGGATTCCCCTTCATGAAAGCCGTCTACATCGGCATAAAATGATGAGCATCCAGTATCTGACTTTGACACAGTATGGAATATCTATAGATATGTCTGTATAGTTATTACTAGAGACGACGATGATTATACTATCCAACAGACCTGTTCTGAACCAACATGTGGATAACTTATCATGCATCACCATATGAGTCGCTCCTTCATCCATTTTGCATCTTCTTGAGGCGATGATTTGAATATTCTCAGACCTGTTCTGAAATCACATGTGGATACCATAACATGCATCACCATATGAGCCTTTAACTCGTCTTCATCTTGTAGCTGTAGGGAACCAAGCCGACATGTTTGTAATATACTGCACTTGATCTTCAATCGTTCTCTTGTCTTGTCTTCTCTTGTGTTGTTTTACTCGTGCAAATGACGATCAAGCTCCACTACCTTCTTTCACTGCTGCTGCTGCAAGTGTATTCAAGATAATCGTCTTGGCTCGTTGGTAGTCAAGTGGATCGAGGGAATACAAGTCTTCACGGGCACGGTTGGCGTATCGACCAAACTCTTCCAAGTCACTCGATCGAAGTATCTGCTCTGCTACCGTGCGCTGGAGCTGCTGCATCTGTGCTGGAGCCAAAGTTTCCTGCGCAAGCCTTAGCAGCTCGAATGCTTGGCCCGCGAAACGCAAAGACTCGAGGCGGAGCGTTTCCACAGGCCAACCGTCTTGCCCAGGGAGCACGAAATACATGTCACCCACTTTCCACATTGAAGCACGCCATCGAAGATCATCCCATGGTCGACTAGGCCACAGGCAGTAGTTCCAGCGCAGAAAACCATCAAGCTCGAAGAAAAAGGTGAGGTATCCAACGAGCTCGCCTTCGACAAGTGGCGACGAGACAAACTGATTTGGAAACGCTGGACCACAGCATACGTACCAGCAGACATGCCCTCCACGGGCACGAGCGTCTTTGGCCAACCGACGTGTTACCTCCAAATCAGCACAAGCCAGTGGCAAGAGTGGCACATAATCCGCTACCTGAGGTGGAGCGTAAGCAGGTGAAAAAAACTCCGAGTGATTCACTGCCAGCTTAATACGAAAGTTGGGAGCCAAACGCTGCAAGAAGCGCAGTTGCTCGTGAAATACTGCCACCTCGCGGGGTTCATCAGCACATATCCGTACACGATCGGCAATTTCCAACGCGATGCAATGTGCGTAGAATTGCTCGATAAACGTTTCAACCTCAGAAACCCGTCGCAGGTAGCGCACACATTGAGTTGTGCGATCCTGGCACCGGATGCGCCAACCATCGACCACAAATGCCGGAGCTTCAGAAGAGGCAGTTGCGGGGGACGGCGGCAGCGATGATGATTGACTGTGTTCATGGTCTAGGTCACCAGGATTTTGCATTCCTGACGAGGATGTAGCTGTCGAAGAAGTCACTCTAGAACCGATTAAAGGAGTTCGACGATGCATTTTAGGAGCAGGAGCTGATTCTGGAGCAGACACAGTTGGAAGCGGTCGAAGGTGATCCGTCGTGAGCTCAGCTGGGGCATCGAACCCTGCAACAGGGTCTCGCCACACTGAAAGAAGACCAAATACTTCGATTTCATGGTCCACATGATGGCGGGCTCCTAGCGCCAGCAGTCGATCGAAATGGGTAAAGTCGATCGAAACCGGAACGCCATGGGCTGGATCTTCATACACCTCCAAGATAGCATGCTCAAACAACGCTGATGCATTTTGCTCTTCCATGTAGCATTGTTGACCTGCCCATGGCATTTCCGTAGCGACTACAGATAAACATTTTTGGCCCATTTCCGACAATAAAGCCATGTACCGATCAATCAATTCAAAATGCCCATTGCTCCATAATGACACATGATGTGCACGTGCCAAGGCCGTCCAGTGCTGCCATAAATCCAATCGAAAACGCCAATTACTTGGCGTCGGAAGTTGAACATCCACCACGTTCACGGCAACACTGCTCGACCACGTCAGTTGTTCATCACTGAATCCTGCTTCCTGCGTGAATACCCGCAATGGTATTTCATAGATTCCAGGCTCTAGTTTTTCGCCCACCCGTATTCGTAAATACACTGCATGTTCCCTCACTGCTTTGCTACTAACTCCCGTTCGTTGCAAAGTCTCCATCACAAGATTTGAATTTTCATCTTGGACACATCCGACCACAAAAGTTTCAATTTTGAATTCATCCAGTGGAATAAATCTCGTATCAATTGCTACACGTGCTCGTGGTCCATGACCTGATGATAACATCCAATTACTTGTATCGGTTGTTAGTAAAAAAGGCACATTGGAGTGTAATCTCAATTGAATTCCCGTGACTTCATTCCGAGCTGAAATTAGACGTACACTTTCCAAAAGTTCCACATGAGCAGAAGCCAAAGCCCATTGTACCCGTTGGTTTTCCACTTGATGGACAAAGTGTTTTTTTTCACTCTTTTCATTGCCAGGACTTGGTTTTTCGTGATTTTTTGCCATTTCTTCAGATAAAAACAATTCTTCGTCTTCCATCTCGACACTTGAGTCAATACTTTTCATTGTTTTGGACATGGCAGGAGCAAATTGAGCTAATAACCACATTGGGGGATGAATAGGTGATATTATAGGACCATTGATGGACGTATCGACATAATCAAATGCAAAATTTGTAGTCCGTGGGGTCGAAAGATGAATATTTGTTGCAAATTTCTTGGTATCGTAAACTTGACATGGTAATTGACGTGGAAATGTAGCCATAGCAGTCGGATCACTTAATTCAGTACATTCCACCTTTGGAGATACTTGATATTGTTGTTCGAAATCTGATCCGTTCTGATTCTCACCAGACGACATGGATTCATCATTTGACATTGACGCGTCATCGTCCCCATGGTCATCAGAGGCCGAATGAATACGTTTATTAATATTAATATTATGACGAATTAAAGTATCATTTTCCTCTTGTGTAAAAGGGGACTCGTCATTTGACGTATTACTATCACCACCTGACGATTCCATCAAGGGCTTTTTCACCACGCATAAAGTAATCAAGATAAAATGAGATTGTATTAATTGTATCAAATAGTAGTAGTTGAAGGTGTAATTACTATTATAGATAGTACTATGCTACTTTTAATATTCAAGTATTAGTGGCTGATAAGCGCTAATAATACAAAAGATGGTGCTCTTCGTCCTATATATCAAGGCGGATCTGGAGAATGTCGAGACACTAGAAGCACCGGCGTTACATCGTTGGTGTCTAAACGTAAAAGAGCCACGTGGTGACGAAAAGCGTGAAGGTGTTTTTGTATCGGATGAAGAGGTTGTGGACGTGGCGGGTGGACGAGGCGAGGTGCATTTTACAATCAAGTGGCCAGGTGCCAACAAGTTGTCACAGTTGACAGTCATACGTGATGTAAAGAAATTGACACGTCCGATCGTGGCGTCTGATTCGGGTGATTTTGTCCCATTTGTTGGCTTTGATTGCCGTGGATTAGAGCCGTATCAATGGCATCCAGAGAATGGTTATCGTGTCATTTCTGCAGGACGTCATACGGCTTTTGATGATGTCGACTTGAGTGATGATTGGGCAGATTATGACGAGGAAGGAGAACAGTCTGTTGGTATCTACGGACTCGAGTACAAGTTTGAGGTGCACAAGTAAGAGGAAGCTTCTTGTACAAATAGTAGTTGATGCGAGATAGTACTTGTATGTTACTATTTGCTTTGATTACACATGTTACGATAAGAACCATGAATTGTGTAACCCTGTTTTAGTTGCGTAGTATCCATGATTAATGCAAGTAAAGTACCTAACCCTTTAGTATAATTAATGGGTATAAAAAAGTGATCTTCCAGTTGGATTTTATTCTATGGCTACAAAAATCGCCCTATTATAAAGCGGATATTCAAGCGCACGCCAACCATTCTTCTTTTCGCTCTTTTTCACTATCATGACTTCGCTAGTAAAAGGTTTTGCCGGTACCATTACCGGTTCGGCTGATGTTTGCAAGATAATCACGGGCGTTTTTACCAACTGCGTGGCATCCGAATATCTTTTACCAAATGAGATAATTCTGTTTTCAATGGTTTCAGCAAAAAATGAATTTTCATTTACAAATATGACTTTAATCAAAATTGAAGGGGAAAATGCAACAACTACGCGAAAACTTATTGAACGTATTGCATATAAGGACAATCTTTTCAGTCATATTAAATTTGAAAGTGCCGGTCATGTCGATCGTGATTGTGAACTGAAATTTCAACTTGGTACCACAAATTTGTCAATTGAGATTGCAAAAAGTGACCAAAAACGTGCTCAAGGGATTTATAAAGTACTGGAACTTCTACGTCGTGCTCAAGTTACAAATGTCCATTTATGGAAAATGAGTACATTGAGTATCAAATATGTAAGTAAAGCTCTGTATTTGACGGAAAAGAGCAATCAGACGCTTACAAACCAATCGGACGAACTCACAACTTGGCTACATGAAGTTTATGAACGCACCCATCCAAATTGTTACCGTGATGTGATTCAATCGGCATTCGTGGAGCTTCATTTAATTGATCACAAATGAAGATCAAGCAGTAAATGAGAACTCTTTGACGGTCCAGTTGGTTGTACTCGTGTAATCTGGAGCTTGAGATTTTTTTTTATTTCCTGGCCGTTGGTTGTTATAAAAATGGTCTCGATCGTTCAATGACAGTTATTGCTGTGCCACTTGATACACGTGCACGCCCAATCTTGAAGCTGCTAGCAAAAGAGCCTTGGCTATCAGTTTCAAACTGCTTTACTTGAGATTTTCACAGACACTGAACTACCAATGTACTCCATCCCACATCGAAAGCATTGCCACGCGACCGTCCAATTCAAATGATAATCACTTACATCCGCTTGCTTGACCACGATTTCAAGCTACAAAGCAAGCTTAAACATGTTTCATACATGTAAAGATGTTTGCTATATTAGCAATCACTCGATTATAGGAGATATGAAAGTAAGAGTGCAGTCATGACAGCTCCTAGCGTAGAGGCAGAGGCAGAGGCAGCAATGGCGAAAGAAACAGCACACGCATCACACAGAATCGTCGCTCTGCTGAAAGTATCCGCGAGCGCGGATTCGTTGGCAGCGCAGACGGCACAGGCACTTCCAACGCAATTGTAGAGACAAGTGCATTCGCCATTGATGCAGCCAGCATTGTCTCCGTCGCCGCAAGTAGTCTCATCGCACTCTGCGCCAATACAGTACTTTCCAGTTGCGTCACCATCGCATGCGCACGTGCTGTTTCTCAAGCACGTTCCCAAATCGTTGCAAGCTACAGTATCGCCCTCCGAGCAGATTTCGCACTGAGGTCCAGTCCACCCAGTGTAGCAGATGCACTTGTCATCTTTACAATCGCCATTTCCATTGCAGGTACTGCTACATTTTGCGTAAATCGCAACTATATCTCCGACACTCGTTGTCGGCAACTTTTCCAACAATGCAACACGCTCATCAATAGGTGTGACCCAATCGTCCTTTACCAAGCCGCCTGTGTCTGCTGACTGGGGGTTAAAGGCCCAATAAAATGATCCAATCGATGTCTTGTCAAGATAGGCCGAAACCGCGTTCGCCCACTTTTTGTTCTTGTCTTTCATCTGTGCACCCCACGATCCAACAACCACAGCCTGTCCAGTTTCCTTTGGAATAAATCCAAAATATTCGTCCCATAGAGCTGGCATGTTATCGGGAAAATCCGAGTCGCTCCACCACGGTGCCTTGTAATCCACACCCGGTGAGATCAAATGAGGACTGTACACAAGTTTCTCCATATTACTCAGCTTTACAGGATAATCTTTTGCTCCCTGCAGTGATCCCCCTGCTTGTCCCCACTTAACACTAACTCCTTTCATATTTGTCTGCACCCCTTGTACAAAAATCAACAGTCGAGGACATTTCTTCAGTACAGCATTCCCAATCTTAGCTGCCTGCAAATTCCAGTCTGTATCTTCATCTCCTGTACCCCATGTAGCTTTTCCCTTGGGTTCATTCTTAATGTCCATTGCAAAAACATTCCATGCTCCTGGATCATCACAATATCTCGTCGCGAGTTTCTCTAGAGCCGGCGTGATATCAGCAGGGACTGCAATGTCCGGGAAATCCGAGACCGAAGCTTTGATCCGATGACTGTCAAACATGATGAGAATATTGCGTTCCCGAGATTCGTGGACAATCACATCCAGTATTTCCAAGTACGATTTACCAGCTAAAGAAGGGGTCCCAGCTGTTTGAGTACTTGGAACTTCAGGGTCTTTCATCACAGAATCCATGGCCAATGGTAAACGAAGAGCATTCATATCAAGACTCGCAAATAAATCCATTGCATTGCCAATAGAAGTAGCTGTTGGCCATAATCCTTGTACGACAAGTTCAATACTTTCTACAAGTTTAAAAAAAGTATACAAAAAAAAGTGAGATGAAAAATTATGTTTTATACAAAATGGGACACTTGAACTTGGACATACCACTACCAAACCAATTAATGCCTTTGAGATAAAATGTTTCATTGTTTGCTTTTAATTGTCCATTAATAGATCGAAAGTCAATAAATGTACTCGCAGCATTACAAGTTGAGAGAGAGAGAGCTGTGAGAAGGAAGAGGAAGCAAACCATTTCGAGGAATCGAGAGCTTAGATATTACTATACTATAATGATAGAGAGAGACAGTCAGGAAGGTGGTTAGTGTTCGTTTGTGTAACGTACGTCAAGTTGAATCAGAATAAGGACCTGAGGTCGCAATCTCGTGACGTGATTGGACAATAAAAAGGTGCAGATTAATCGAGTTCATGTTTACAATTACGGTAAATTTCTATAAAAATGAGGTTGGTCTGACTACTTTTTACCACAGAGGATAGCATTATTGTTACGTATTAACGTTATAACAAAAGCTGTTATAAATTAGCCTACTTTATTAGTAGTCGAACAAACACACGTGCATGTCCATCGGTGTGCTTGTTTGTCACTTTATGACACCCGTATTACGCCTTTATTCACACAACAACTTGCATCACCATCTTTATCTTTATCTTGCGCATATTTTAAGACCCCATATGCCTTCAACCTTACAGTGTAAGCTGATATTTTGATCCTAGAAGGAGAAATACCAGCTATTTACAACGGACTTCTTACAAAACCTTACTTTGTGACTTATCCAGGACACTACAGCATCTCCTACAATACATATATGTTGCTTAGATATAACGGCAGCAAGTCTAGGTGTTTCGAGTCTCAAGGTGACGCTACGAACGTCTACAGCTCCAGTTACAAGCACAGAAAAAAGTCGTAGCTGGCAGTTATTTAGCACCTTTACAGGACGATTCAGTGCTTTACTCAGACCTATTAGCACCTTTTCCAGTCAAGAGTGAACGGATATAACTGACACGGCCAAGCTTGAGAACATAGTAGCATTCAGGACAAAAGAGAAGACAGGAAGGAGTCGAGGAGATGCTGTGAGACGTGGATACCCACTCGGTATTTTCACGCTAATGTCGTCGTCTGGCGATTGATAGAAGTCGATCGAGTGGTGCTCATGTGGCTTTGCAATATCAATGCGAAGTGCCTACAAGACGAATGGATTCTTCTTTGCTGCTTACGATGGAAGGGTGCGCAATGATGGAACCAGCAACACTCTCAGACGGCTCTCATGGTAGCTTTATAGTCAGCTATGCATGCTCAATGTCCAGAGACTGCAACCTTGATCCCTGCACCGTATCAACGTCAGCTTATAGCATACCCATTCGGGCAGTGTGTTTATTTGTCTCATTGGTTGTCAAACTGATAATGGGCCACCGGCAGTGGATGGTGTGGCCATATTTTTCGCTTATATGGAGAATTGGTGAATGTGAAGATCGTATGCCGGAGCTCTGCACGCTTTGTGTAGCGACGTGCCTGCAAATTCTAGGCAAAAACGAATGCTGATCTTGTTGTTGATGATACAACAACATGGCTCGCTGGGAATTACGCCGAAAGTGATGAAGCGCGTGGATACAAGCGTCTTGCAATTAAGGTGCGGACAAAAGCATCTTGGGCCAACACTGGGTTTATCGAGCAGAAAGTGTGACCGTGTATCGTATTCGATGTATGAGTGTTCGAGTCGACTGCTTCATGTTCTGGTAGCCGCAAACGCATGGGCCTATTCGCAAAGCTCATTTTATGCTTGAACTCGGTGGACATGGGGTGTAGGTACCGACCGGTTCATGTTTACATCCAGTTACGATAAAGTTTGTAGCGATCAGCAAGGATGTCTGTTTTGCGCGATCGAGAATGAAGTGAACAAGGTTGGTTCAAGTGGACAAAGTATCTAACAAACAGCCAAGAACCTTCAGCCAAGAACCTTCAGCCTGAACCACAGAGAACAAGTTTTTGAACAATTTTTGCACAACTCCGTTGGATATCGAGCTCTAGATGTAGTGGACGACAGCAATGGGTGCTGGATGGGCCGAGGCTATGCATGCTCATCCTTGTCCTATGACGTGGTGACGAGGTGAGGAGAAAGGGACGATGGAGACCGATGGGCGGCTTTCTATTCCTAGTGGAAAATTGCCAGTATTCACTGAGCGAGTATGATGATAGGCAGTGCACCGGATTGATAAAAGTTGTGGCTGTGAGTTGTCGTTGTTGAAGATTTGAGTGATAGTGTGGATCTCAATGTCGTTACCGTCGAGGCAAATGATTCTATATGTTTCGTACGAGCACTCGTGAGCATGAACTGTCAGGTGTGTGGGCATCGAAATGGGTTGTGGTGTCGCTGGAGAAGGCAAGTCTTACAAAATGAATTGTTGGTAGTCTTCGTGACCTGCCCTTGGAAGCTGCAAGGGCAGGCCACAAAGGACATAATAACGAGGCGAGGAAGATGTTCTGATCTGCTTTATTTGGTGCGTACGCTAGGCTTTGACCAATCTAAGATGATTGAGTCTTGGTACATGTACATTCTGCTACATGTGATGAAGGTGTGTTTTGCACAACCACTTGGTAGCGGTTGAGAGAAGAATGAAATTTTGATAGCGCTGGTGTTGTGACGCTGCAGTGCTTTGCAGCTGCGGTAGCCTTTTACGTCCATACACGTGAGTTGTACCATGCTTGTGGAATATCAATCGCCAGAGGAGTGAGCACAGTCGCTTACAGCTAAATATCCAGTAGTTGTCAAGCTGAATTTTTTCGACCTACGATGGCAAACAAAGCGGTGGTCAGTTTCTCATGCAGCGACCCAATTTTCATGGGGATGTGGCTTCGAAAGTGTTCGTTGCTCTGGTCTTGCACGCTCGCAATCACACTCGGGTCCTGTGAATGTATTTGAACCTCATTAGCGCCAGCGTGCATGAATCTACGTTTGTGTCGAATATCCAGACGAAAAATAATCTGGCTTTATGACGCGCCTTCCAACGTTTCTACTCTCGGTTCACGTCAACGATGCTATGAACGTTGAAACGAGCGATTTTGAGCGTTGCAACGCAACGAACTCAGGCAAAAGGGGTGTGACAACCTTTTGCAAAGAGACCGGTTCGGCTACAAATCAACGGATGATCCCTCGACCTTTGAGAGCCAGCAAAGAGTCATCACGTCTGGCCAAATAGCAAAGATTGGTTATTTACGTCCGCAGTCGTGTGAGGCAAACTCTACGTAACTAGTCTAGTCAGCAGGCTTTCAGGACCTATTGGCAGCGTGAGACAGCGTCCTCGATGTTGGTGCTGTAGAAAAGTAAAAGCAGTGGTGCTGCTGATTGAGACGGCTGCCTAATATCTTTAAAGATGCTGAAAGCTTTGCAAAGTTCTCCTCTTGTGTCAATTTCCATTCGGATGGGACGAAAGGACAGCAATCTGGATTTCAACCACATTTCGCATGGCAAGAAGCGATTCAAGCCTGCGTCTTTACTGTTTCTTGGTCTGACAATCCTAAGATATCGATGCTTACAACACGTAAAGCATTGATTACAATGTACTCCATAATCGTCGACTACGAGAGTTCTAAAGGAGACATGAAGAGAATGTTTTAAATGAATCCTCAACCACAGAAAAGGTGATATTCTCACGATCAGCTTGGCATATAAAATCCAATGTAGAAACTACTGGACATCGACACGATCGTCTGAACAATTTGGCGGCGCATAGTGTCAAATGTCCTGCCACATCTGCTCTAGAGTCGATTGCATTCTTTAATGTTCATAACCATGACGTGCTCAGTTGAATTGGCAGATCGTGCAAGCGATACAAATTCGAACTCTTCCTACCTTAGTTTTTATAAACACCTCTAGTCCCCAGTTCATTATGTAGACACTTACCAAGCTGTCCTACGCTCATGGTCTCACTCGACAGATATTTTTGAGGGATTTGAAGTACTATCTCGAAAACAAGGGGGGGGGGGGGGTAAATCATGACCAACCTACTGACGACTTTGTACCACACTTAGCTATATATATATATGTGTGTCTTTTTTTTCGGTGGCTCTTCCTTCTCGTGCTTGAAAGTTACTTTATCTTTGTATGAACATGCCGTCCACCTCGAGATAGATTGTCCAATACGATTAAACGAATGGTGCTCGTTCTCGCAGCCACACCATCTTTTGCGATGGGATGAGTCTTGAGTCTGCATTTTTCACTCTCTACTTAATCTCTAAGTCTACAGTCTTCTGTCGGACAACCTGGCGGCATTTTTTTTCCAGTTCTCTACACGCAGTCTTGAATTTGCTTTGTGCTTCACATTTGTCTTCACCCTTTAACGAGAAAAACCGGTCTAGCCAATATGACTTCGACTGTGTCTAATGAACTGCTGCAGCTTTGTGCTTGCTACAAGGACAATCACACACCTCGATTTGTACCTCAAGTTGACAATCACAACGAAGTTTTGAGTTCGTCAGTTACTGACCTTTCGGACGATTCGACGCTTACCAAAGATGATCTTGTTTTTCTTAGTGATCTCTTTGGTGTCGCGAATCCCACGACGAATGTTTCATCTGTCAAGCTAAAACAAGTGACTTCGACGCAACCTCATAGTCGCAAACGTCCGCGAAGTACCAAGGGCGTTTCGGAAAATGGCAGGGTCTTACCCAAATCACAACAGCAGCGTCAGAAGCTGGAGATTGAGTTTTTGAGAAAACAAGTTGTCGAGTTGCAAGCGAGGATTGAGGAATTGCGTGCGCGAAAAATGGAGCGGAAACGGCAGAAATTGCAAGGTGCCTTGAACGATACCAGCCCCGCTTTAAATCCATGGGTAAATTCGACCAACAGCCACGTCATTGCAGTCCAACAACTTGAGGAACAGAATGAGAAGCTGCGCAGTCAAGTGACAGCATACCTCGGGGAGCTCAAACAGTTTGAGCACATTGCGCGGACCCAGTACATGGCAAACGATTTTCCTGAACCGATGCACTTCACTGGACACCCCGCTACGAATTACTACTCGACGTCGTACTAAATAGATCTTAAGAAGACACTTTTTGTGTAGAATCTCAACCAGCTAAACACTGCCTACTTATTTGCTCCATTCACTACTTTTGTTATCGTGACCGAAATGGAAGAAATGTCTCCCTAATGAGATGCTGGCATTTCACTTTTTCTCCTCCTCATCTGGTTGGTTTCAAATGGCGCTGATACATCAATAGCCGACAAGGGGCGCTTCAAGAACGGGTAAAAGCCGACAAACGTTCACATTAACAGATTTCGGCAGATATAACGCGAATTGTTGTGTCGAAAAATCAAGCGGAGGTCAATACCTGCAGCGATCGTGCAGTCCCTGCAATCTGAGAATGAAAATCTGCTTTGGTAGAGCAGGCACTGGCATTGACATTTTCGAGCTGAAGCCGAGAATGAACGACAGCCTCGAAGCTTCTTCGGTTTGATGATGAAGAAGAAAGCGGGACGAAGACTAACTAAGCTTGGGTGAGTCAACGAAATTGTAGACGAACGTGCATACATTATCTAACAAGTTCAAGAAAAAGACGAAGTGGCGGGGCAGAACCCATGATTAAGTTCACCGAAAGGAGAAATTGTTCGTGCTTTCATCACTCATGACCAAAGCATCATTATTACAATGGGCAACTCGCTTTGAATGATCTTTTGACACCTGCAAGGTCGTGGAGGTCTGGGAGTACAGCTCGTCAGGTGCTTTCACACAAACGGCAATAGCCTTGTTCGTCAGAAAAATTACTCACGCACGGGGTCAAAAGGATTTAGAAAAGCAAGAATCCGACAAGTGGAAGCTGCTGGTCTTTTTACGAGGCCTGCAACGCGTTGCCTAGTTTCTTGCTTGCTACGATTCTCTTCGAAGAGGCGGCATTCACAAACGTTTTTGCAAGATACCAACTTTGCTGTTCAATGGTTCGCATAGGCGGCACAGTAGACATTATTCAAATGCTAGAACGTAAAGGAGACGACGAAGATGCTTGAAATGACGATGGCACACGACTACTTTGTTCTCACTCAACAAACTTCACTCCAAAAGCTATGAGGATTGAAAAAACCAAGGGACATTATTTCTTGAAACTTATGCAGAGGCTCTTCAAGTGTTGCATAAGGTCCCGATTTCACACTTAAAAATTTACAGGTTCGTTGATTCTTGTTTCTCCTTGTTTTGTCATCCACTGATGTTTGACTTGTTTTTGAGCCTGCAGTTCAGCACCATTCAGTCATTGCCAAGCTCAGTTTTGTACGCTATCTGAGTGAGCAGAGCATTCGCTTTGATAATTCGAGAGTATTGAAGTTAACGGCTGTCCCACGTATCAAGCAAATATGATTTTATATGCTTTGATTTCTGGCTCGTGATATATCTATCTCATCTATACAGACAGAAAAATGACTGCGTCCCTAAGACCTGCAACACTTCATTGATTGTTTGTCAACTACGTCAGTGGTACGGACCCTCAACATTTCGCACTAATTGTGATAATTTGCAACAGTCGAAGAGCTGAATGAGGCAAGAGTGTTGAAGGGCTCTCACAAAACTTCGCTGCGTGGCCAATCTGGCTATTGGTATCACGAGACGGCTCCAGATCGCATCTCTTTGCTGTCCAAACTTTTTAGTGTCTTGTAATAGTGGCATGCCACTCAGCAGCTTCGAAGAAGCACTTCAACTAGCTCTAGTTTTTTTACTTGGTTGGCCAGAATTGACGAATGTTCTAAAATTACTTTTCCTTGCATGCTTGTCGATGAAACGAACCTTTTGTCTTGCTATCATATTTTCTTGTCACGCTTTGGTCTGCAGCTTGGTAATGTGGGTCTTTAAACGATAATCATTGAGGCCGAGCAGTGTGGATACAATATCCGAAAGTCTTGGACAATGTTATTCAAGCGTCTATCGATGCTTTTACTCGTGCAGGAGATGCACGTATTGAGCCAGCAGCTGACTTGATTCCTTGTGACATCCAGATAGTGAGCTGGGTGCAATTGGATCTCCAAGCTCTAGGTACCTACCTACATTTGATTATAACTTACTGTCTTAGGCCGCTGCTTTCGGTCGATCGAGCCTGATATTGTAATATCACAATAATTTCACTAATTCACTATTTGATATATATTCAACAATAATTCAATAAGCAATTTTAAACTTCAAAATTTACCGTGACAGACACTGTAGTAAGTGTTCGCTGCATAATCATATCCGTGCACCTAAAATGTTGTTCGCACCAGTCTTCAGCTAAACACATAACGGCGTTTTCCGGCAGACCCTTCATCACTCGTGGACCCTTACAAAAACATGTTAGATGTGAACCATATTGTCGTAGAAACTCATCATGCTTTTGATCGATAAAATAACGCTCAATGCAACCGAAGTACCTATAAAGCGAGATTTCTAGTGTCCGTTGGTCATGGATGCTTACTGTTAGAAATGCCTGTTTAGAAACGTCTTGTCAGTCATTGTTGTGTTGCAGGTTCAACTGCTATACCATGTGATAGTGACACCTGATTGGTCGAGTCAACAAACGACTTGACAGATGGTGAGGCGAGGCGACGACGGTGACAGATGGTGAGACAAGGCGGCGACTATGAAAGACGTCGTAACAGGTGCTTTGATAAGACGGTGCCGAACAGGTGGCGGGACGAGGCAGCGACATGACCTGTTGGGCGACATGGCGACGGCTCACAAGATAAGAGGAGAGACGGACGCAATCATGTTATGGTCAAGTTGCAGTTCATGTTATATTGCAGTGTTAGCGAACGAAGATAACATTTACATATATTCACTTCTACTTTTACCTCTTCGCACACAAGTGCAACAAAGTTCCAAATCGCAACTTTCCTACAGGTTATGAGCCCAACGATCAAGCGCGAGGCCGGTGCGGCTGCACAAGCCAAACCGACCAAGGTTACTGACGGTTTTAACAAGCCCGCCGAGGAACAACTTGAAGAGAAGTCGGCAACTCCCATGGGAGCGATGGACAAGATGATGGGGATGCTCGGGGACATCAGCGAACGTTTAAATCGCTTGGAGTCGTCACAGAAAGAGCATGCTGGCAAGAACGTCAAGGGATCTTCGGAGTCTCTTTTCGGTTCAGTCCTAGGAGCGGGGATGACCCTGCAGGCCTTGGAGGAAGCACCTCCCCGGAAGATGTCTCCAGCCGACCTTGGTGGACGGCGTCAAGACTTCGGGAACGACAGAACACATCGTGGTGCCTACGGTGGCGTGGAATCCAGGATGGGTGCGTTACCTGAACCGGCTCGCCCCAGGCAAGAGGCACCTCCGAATGCATACCCTGATGTGGGTATGCCGGACAGGTTTTTTGTTGGCGAAGAACCCCAAGTCTACGGGATGCCGGATTCGAGGGAGCGAAATCTCGCACTTCAACCATTTGACGTCAAGGAACTCTACCAGGGACTTGGTAGTGGGTTCATCGAATGGGGCAAGGAATTCGTCCGGCAAGTTGGGTTCGCGGAACGTGCATGCAGATTTGCATGGCCCGAGGACATCAAGGTCGACGTGCTGGGCCAACACCAAGGAGGAAAGGCCCAGATTTACTACCGTCGGCTGGTCGAGTCTTGGTGGGTTGATAACCAGACTCTGGACCACGCCTTGAATAGGATGCTGCAAACTTTTAGCACGAAGATCTCACCCGCACAGAGCATGAAACTCTTTACGGCACCGAAGGCAGCACACAGAAGTTAAATGGACCATTATCTGTATCTGACGGCCGTGAGCGATGCATGCGGAGGTATGGACAACCTAGTACTTCAAGGCATTGTTAAGTATGCGGACCCAAACATGAGGATGACTATGTTGTCGAGGTTGGACATCCACCGACCAGACTCCCTACGACAAGCTCAGTTTGCACAACAAGTCGATATTGAGTCGCATGTGAAGAACTTGGGTCGCGATGTGGTGAACGCTGTCGAGACTCGAAAGGAGCCAAAAGAGAGGTTCACGTCAAGGCCAAAAAGAAACGTTGAAGTGAGCGAACAACGCGTGTGCTACAAATGCGGAGAAGCTGGACACATAAGGTCCAAGTGTCCGCAGGCACGGAAGAAGGGTGCAGGTGCTGACTTCACCTTCGCGATTAAGAACAGTGGTGACCTCTATGAGGACCACTGGATCCTTGACATTGGGTTCAGCAGACACTTGGTCAACGACCTAAGTCTACTGATCAACCCCGAAGACTGTCGGGTGAATGCTTGACTGCAGCCTCCGACGGAGGTGTGCTCCGAGTGACCAAGCAGGGGAGCGTTGACTTTAAGGTTGTCGCGCTCGGGGTCATAAAAACGATAAGGCTCCTCGACGTTCAGTACGCTGCAAACCTCGAGCGAAACAATAAATCCTATGGGAAGCTCGAGGCGAAAGGATGCGTACTCGAATATCGAGGAGGGGGACGTGTGTTGACCTCCGGGTCGAAGGGCGCACCAATCATGGATGTTGACCGCACAAACAACGTGTTGGTTTTGAAGGTGACAGGTTACCGTGCGAAGTCATGGGTATGTCAAAGGAAGTTATGGTGGCAGCGATTCGTTCACCTGAATATGAATCCAATTCGTATGTTCAGCGTGGTACCTTGATGCACTTCCATCGCCGGCTTGGACACCTTTGTTTCGATACGATCATCAAGATGACCAAGGACCCCGCATCATGCATCAAGCTGACTGACACAAGACGCATGAATTGCTTGGCGTGTACTCAAGTCAAGCAGAACAAGCAAGCGCAATGGAAGGTGGATACTGGCATGAATTCACCCATCGATGTCGTCGGTGGGGTGATATGCAGTGATCTGAAAGGACCGATGACCCCACGAGATCGTCTGGGCAACCGGTACCTAGTCTACTTCATCGATCACCGGTCCAACTACTGCCGCGTGTTCCTGGCCAAGACCAAGGACGCTGCTGCAGTACTTCCTCGTGCAAATTGAACGCGAGTTCAGCCTCAGAATTCATGTGCTATGCACTGATGGAGGCGGGGAGTCCAAGAATCTGGACGTGTTTTGCAAGGCAACTGGA